TTACATAAATTTTAATACTTGTATGTATGTAAAAAAAATATAGTCAAAGCAAATAGATGTATACTTCGTAGTTATGTTGCATCTATTGTGACATGGAGGTAGAATAACATATACATACTCAATTACAAAATACATCCTTCATTTCCTTAAAATAATAACAATTAGATTTTTCAACTATTTACTCAATAAGTTTGACCATACATATATCGATAATATCAAACCAGTCGAGTTAGTTATGTAAATGATTGTTCGATTAGTCTAAATATTATCTATTCTTGTTATATCAACTTTCGATAATAATAAGTAAATAAAGGTGGTGGTGTAGCTGTGTAGGGGTTTATGTAATAGTGGTCAATGACCATATTCCGGGTAAAGTTCGTTTTTGACAAATTTTTTTTTGTTAAAAAAATCATGTCTCTGTTAACAAAAAAATATATAAAGGTGATTTTGTGATGAAATGTGTGTTTTGTTAGATGGTTTCTGATAAATTTTTCTTACATACTTCATTTTTTCTTCTTTAATAAGGTAATTGTGATTTGTGAATAATGTTTTATTATGTTAATTGGTTTAGGTATATGCTTATAAAACACATACTCCATATCTATAATTTTTACTAAAATAACAACCGTTGACATCATCCTTTCTCCTAAGTACACACATGTTAAGTTGTGGTAGAAGATTTTCCCTCCTAAAATTTATGTGATGTCATCATTTTTTTTTTTTAATTTTTTAATTTTTATTGTTTGATAAATTTAAGCTACTTCTTTTTTACGAAAAAATTTAAGCTATTTCACTCCAATTTTCATTTCATTTTATTTATTTATTTATTTTTAAAAAAATGTTGCGTAAATTTTTATTTTTTTTCTTTGTAATTTGAAAAATTTAATTTATTAATATTAAACTTAGTCCAATAATTTCGCAATTGTGACAATATAACACTTTTTATTTGACATAATCGTGCATCACACGAGACTAATCTAGTGTAATTTAAAATATATGCTTTTGGATACATAATTGGAACGCTTAAAAAATAATAGTATGTGTAGTGTTTGATACGGAGATGTATACAAGCTAATTATTATGTCTCTTATTTAAAATATTAATCTCTTCTAATCCTAAATATTAAATGCTTTTAAGTAATGCCTTGTTGACCAAGCAGGTACCATTCTTGCAAGATTGGGCAGTTTTATGTAAGTTGGCGAACTACTGGCCGAATCAAACTTCAGCCTATTAATACTAAGACTATATGTTTGACTTGGTATTAATTAATTAATGGAAACACTATTAGCAGTCTAGTAACATGACAAAAATAGAATAGGGAAAAAAAATGGATAATACTACAGTAGTACAATAGATTTTTTTTTTGGGTGGAGAAGTAAAGTAGGAGTAAGTTTTTTTTTTATAATTTTTTTTTAAGGTAAGGTGTAGGACTCTAACCGTATCTCAACTCTTACGGATTTTTTTTTGTCGGTATTGGGGTCATACACTTGAAAGTGAGGGGTGAAGAGTAAGACATCCCCACCCTCAAAGTGTCTCTAGTGGGATTGAAACCTCAACCTCAAAGTTGGAAGGTTCAATCCTTACCACACTAGACAAAACTTTAGCTTGGTAGGAGTATGTATTAATCGTAGCTACTAAACAAATATAAATAATACAGTGACATTAAACATATTTAGAACATTCTTTTGACTTTTACTTATATAAACATACTTGAATTGAACTTATCTAAGCCGATCAGATCTTAAAAATGCAAATTGAACTAAGGTAACATTTATAAACCCTTATTAAATTATTTTTTTTCCCTTTCTAAACTTATCGTTTCTAAATTTATTTAAAATTATCTAACCCTTTTATAAAGCTTATTTTTTTCTTGAAATAGGTGGAAATAAAATGAATAAAAACAAGGTCTTAATTGGTTTCAAAATAACCATAATGTTGGCTTATTAATAACCTCTAATGCTCGATTGTTATCAATGTCTTGTCTAAGTATTACGGAGTACTATGTATGATTGGTAAAGACTCAAATTGTATGATTTGTATCTAAAGAATTTGGGAATATTAAAAAATAAGCAATTCTTTTGTCATATATATCCTTGATAATGACTAGTTGTCTTCGTTGATTGAATTATCATTACCATCTTGATATATACTTATAAGATACAATTTGAATCAAGTATAACAAGATTACACACATGACACATGGATCAAATTATGTTTTTAAGTACCAGAGTATACATTATTAATAATTCAAATGTGAAGTACATACCTTTAATTAAAAAGATAAAAAAACATCTAAGTTAAAACGGCATTAGTCATTATAAAAATCCAACCTAATTGAAATCATACAATGAATAAGTCCTATTAATTTTTGCTATAATTCAAGGTTTAATTTTAATATTTACACATTGTACTTTTAAATAGTGAATAATAATATCCTAATGAAATTGCAATGGCTCCAAGAAGAAAGGTGTAAGGTGTAGATAACAGCATCCAATCACAAAAAAAGCATTACTTTATTCAAAAATTTGAAAGAGGAATCCGCAAACTTACAATCACAAGTAGTATGTAGTTCATCACCAAAACACAAAGTGAAAGGGAATTTAAGCACATATTGTACACAGTCACAGACACACCACACAGGAAAATGAGAGAGGAGCCAATAGCATGAATGGTATCCAGTATCCTCCATAAATGACTTCTTTCAACCTTCTAAATCATTTCACAACCACTTTCGTTTCATCACGTGGACTACAAGTCCCCACATTATTACCCCTTTACAAACAAATCAAAATATATAGGATAAATAAATAACAATAACATTTTAGTAATTTTCACCGCACTTTTTTTTTTTTTTTTTTTTTTTTTTTTTTTTTTTATATATTATCTCATTTATCTGAACTTATCTTCATTGTATCAGACTATCAGAACTTATTTTTGAGTGAGTGTTTCTTTGTTTACACTTGTTTATCTAAATTAATTTTTTTTTGAAATTAATAAGTCAAATTAAGTTAAATAGAAAAGGACAATAACTACTTTTTAAATTAATTTCATGATGTTAGCTTGGGTACGGTGGAGATCAATTTGGGTAGGTGGGGGTCGAGATGGAGGAGCGATGCTTCAAATCCGAAATTTTGTCACCTCAAGTATACAAACCACAAAACATAGATGGTTTAATTTTAACTTAGGTATTTGAAATCGAGAATATTATGAGATTAGAAAGAATAACAGTGAAGGTTTGAATCATCTTTACTGAACCGGTATCTCTAACAGGTTAAGCCATCCCAGTAGGTCAACACTTGAGAGTAGGGGGGGGGGGAGGTAAGAAGATTCCCCTACTCCCAAGCAAATGTAGTTGGTGGAGCTCGAATTTATGACCTCAAAGTAACAAAGTGAGTTCTCTACTAACTCCACTAAACTTGCTTGATTATCATCTCTATTTTATATGGATATCGCTACAAGACATAAAAACATAATACAAATTATCATTTTGTTTTAGATTCTCACCTTACTTGGAATAGTGAAAAAGAAAATTAAAATTTAGTCCTATATATATATCAATAAGAACAACGCGTGAGGAAAGTATTGAGTCAAGTAGCGAGTTAGCTAGAATGGTCCAAGTTGTTGTTGTATTGTATAATCATATCATGGTGTTGTAATTAAAGACAATATATATAAGAACAAGAGATATACTACCAACCCACAAACATATGGGCATTCAATTTTAAACTATCCCATACAAAAACACATGCTTAGGTGGTGCGTGTTAAAGGTCACGAATTATATCATGCATTTTTTATATTAATAATTTGAGTCTTCATTCACCAACCTACCAAACTCAAAAATTGAATTTTCGAGAAAGAGAGGGAAGCATCGATCATGTATTCTTCGATCGTTCCAATCTTTGTTTGCATGAATCCCCACATAAGACAAGTTATCTTAATTGTGAATAATAATACTTTGTATATAGGATAAACTCAAGGATATATAGATTGTAACTTGATTGGTTATTCTTCAAATCATTCAAATTTCTTGCTGATTTAGAATAGTACGTAGTCATTGTGATTTCTAAGGTTTTTCTAAGGTTTTGCGCAAAATATGTCTTAGTTAATGATGCTTTTTCAACCAAAAGTTTACAATAAAAATGAGGTTTAATCAGTAAAAGTAATTTCAAGACGATATAATTGAATCAAAACAACATGACCTATCTCTGATTTAACTTCAAACTATACCTAATACATATGTTATTAGTTTTTACACAAACAAGAGTACAGAGTTGTAATTATATCATATATATAGGAAATACTTCGTACAGTAGAATATCAAGAATGATATTTAGCTTGTAATCTTCCATAATGTAACTTTTCATTCATTCACAAAGAGAATGTTCATCATACAGTTAGGTGTGTTATGCATACACACCTTATAAACTACAATTCACCATATAAAACAAAAAGGGAACGATATAAAAATCCAAAAGTAGTAAAAGTAATTGGGTAATGTTATATGTAGCCTTTAGGGTTATGAATAAGCATTTAATATATTTTCTAATATGGTATTAATTTAGGAATGCATGACAAAATTACGAGCAAATAAGTGTAATTAATGTTATATTTTCATTGTTTTTTTCCATTTTTAACTCCTTATATATAGCCCAAAGGGCTATGTATAGCATTTAAATTAGATAGAACACTAATTACACCGATTTACACATAAAAACTGTCAATTTTACAATTTGGCAGGATCAAATCGAATGTTCACGTTAGGATGGGGTTGAAGTCATCAATTGATCAAATTAGGTCATGAACGATCGAATTTAGATTAATATCTCAAACCGAATTAACTTTTGACAATTATGAAAATAGTCTAATGTGTAATGTGCATAATACACCCGAATGTAAACACAGCATGATTACAAAAAAGAAAGCATAAAATCCGTTAATAAGTGGTGGGGGGAACTATTAAAAAACGTAGAAAAATCTCTCTCATCTCATGAGAATATGAGATGGGTAAGTAAGTGCATGAGACACAAGCGTCCCCCATTATAACTCAAGAAGACTAACATGGATTTCAGCGTTACCATTCAAACTCCCCCGCCCACTCTCCAATGCATCCGTTATACTCCTACAATTATTTATACATACAAAATTACAATTAATTGTATCCTACTCCTAATTTAGAATTCAATCATTCTTTTTTAATTTTCTTTCTTTTTATTACATTTAATTCACCTTCACATTTTTAAAATTTCCCTCTTTTTTTTTTTTTTTTTTTTTTTCTTTATTGGTTTTTTTGAAAAAAAAAAAATGACACAAAATTACTTCATATATAAACCAACAAAAACTACCCATTTCACTCATTTTTCACCATCTTCTCTTCTTTTTTTTTTTTTTTGTTCAATTCTCTCTCTTTCTAAATACCCAAATACTCTGTAAGCTTCAATACTCTGTATATCTTAGATCTATCAATTTTTATTAATTTTTTATTTTCTTGTCATTTTTTTTACTTTTTTTTTTTCCAGTAATTATAAACCCCACTTTTGCTAATATCGATGAACATTGCATATGAATAAATTGATCATCAATCAATCCCTTAACTTACCCATCTCACCTTCATAATTTTCTCTCTGTTTTTTTTTTGTTCTTCCTTTTTTTTTTTATTCAAATTGATTTTTTGTTTTTACCTAATATTCAGGGTTTGTATTTTTCTTATTTTGGATTGAAACAGAGGTTGGTTGATTGTGTAATAAATTGAAGTTTATTGGGATTTTTGTAAATAAAATCAAAGGAAAGTTATAATCTTTGGTGGGTTTGAGCATGCAACAAAAATGACAACTTCAACGTTGCAGAAGAAGCAGCAAATTCATGAAGATAATAATAGTATTTCAAATACTTCTTCTAAGCCTAAAGAACGCCGTATTGTCACTTGGACACAAGAGGTATTGTTCTTATTTCCGAGTTGGGTATTAATAGTCACGTTGATAGTGTAATTTGAACTAGTAACACGACTTATTAAATCGGCCCGATTAAATGAATTTTGTTTGTATTTAAATCTCCTTATCATGATATTGAATTAACGGGTTGTATTGGATTGGATTGGATTGGATTTGCAGGAGGATGATATATTAAGGGAGCAAATAAGCATACATGGGACTGAAAAGTATGAATTAATTTCAATATATTTCATATCATATATTCATATTCATATGATTTTATGTTGACTGATTTAATTTATGAAATAATTTGTCAGGTGAATAGGGTATTAATTATTTTTTATGGGTTTGTTGAAATTAATAAAAAGGTTTGAATTTTCTGGGTTTTTTTTGGTTGGCAGTTGGACGATTATTGCATCCAAATTTAAGGATAAAACGACGAGACAGTGTAGAAGAAGGTTAGTGATAAAAGTTAATATTGATGATTTGTTCATTTGCTAAAATTTTTTATTTTTTATTTTTTTATTGGTCCCCTCAATTTCTTTTTACTGTTAGATTTAAACTATCAGGAATTTTTTCTGATATGCTGTTTCTGATTATTTACCCAAAAAACCCTTTTTTATGTATAAATTTTGTACAATTTTGCAGATGGTATACATATCTGAATTCTGATTTCAAAAAAGGGGGTTGGTCACCAGAAGAAGATATGTTGTTATGCGAGGTAATTGATTTATACGTCCTTCCGTATCTTACTAGTTGCAACGTTTTTATCAGTACGGAAGAAGTGTGTATTAATCTTCGAATGTTACTGTTAGATAATAATGCAGGAGTTCTGAAAATTTGACAGTATTTGCTGCTTGAATATTGAATTTATAAATGTGATTTGATTTTAAAGTCTTGATTTAAAAAGCTTAGTGTGGATTTTAAGTGATTTAGGTTGAAAACTTGAAATGAAGTTGTAACAATAACAGTAGCTTTTATGCAGGCTCAAAAGATATTTGGCAATAGATGGACTGAAATAGCCAAGGTGGTCTCAGGGAGGTATGTTGTGTTCTGTTGGCATTTGTTCTAATTGCATTTGTATTGGAATGATGCTTATTTCGTGTTTGTGAATCGTAAATGCAGAACCGATAATGCTGTGAAGAACAGATTCTCCACCTTGTGCAAGAAGAAAGCGAAACGTGAAGCCTTGGCTAAGGAGAACAGCAATGCAGCTATCAATGTGAACAACAAGAGGATTTTGATTGATAGTAATGGGTTTCGTTTGCAAGCAGTGGATGGTATTGCATCACCTCTTAAAAAATTTAGGTACATTACAAATATTACAAATGGCTATCTGATTTTGTTTCCACTTGAAGGGTTTTTCTTGATAATACTAAGACTGCTGCTGTTGTTACAGGAGGGAACATATTCCAAATCAGGCAGTTAATTTCAACTCTGGAAACATGTTGCTTAAGGAATATGGATTAACAAGGCAGCATCCGAGACCTCCATTTGCAGTATTGGCTCAAAACGTCCGCAATGTTGATAAATCACTAGTTTCCACAACTAAGGATGCTTTGATCAATGGTAATGACATTGACAGCTGCATTTGAAAACCATTTGTCAAAATTTTGCTGTTTACTTTTGAAACTGATCTTGACTTTACGAGCATGGAGGCCTTATCTAATACTATTGCTTTATGAATATACTTCTTTGAATTTGTGACACTAATCAATGAAATGCTTTAATTACAGGTGACAAAAAATTTGATGGAACATTTCTCCGAAAGGATGATCCTAAGGTAGCTGCATTAATGCAACAAGCCGAGCTACTTAGCTCTCTTGCGGTAAAAGTAAACATGGATAGCACCGAGCAAAATCTTGAGAATGCTTGGAAGGTGAGAACTCTCTTCCTAACTGAAGATGCTCTAAGTTTGTGTTATTTTAACAATATGATGATATTAATGAAGTAAGCATTATGCAGGTGCTCCAAAATTTCTTTGGTAGAAGCAAAGAGAATGAGGAGCTTGGACACAAAATAGAGGAATCAGACCTGCAGCTTGATGATTTCAAAGCCTTGGTGGAGAGTTTGAGAAGTAGCAATGATGGCATTCCACTATCTCAGAGGTAACTATAGAGCTGAACTTGAATTCAAAGCTTCGACATGGTTATCGATGCTCAATACCTAAATTTGAACTAAAAACACGAGAATTTTAAAAATAGACAAGGTCGACACTTGGATACATACACATGCCATGAGTATTGGAGCCTGAGTGACATTGAATAACTTTTAGAAATTATCTGATGAAATCCTGAAATTTGCAGTCAGCATGAGGTGTACGAGTCACCAAGCAGCTCCGAGTACAGTACAGGATCAACAAACTTGTCTGCTTGTGATCAAGGGGAACACTCTCAAGGTGAGATATCCACAATGCATGAGGATATCGTAGCAACTTCGCAGTCACTACAAATAGCAGATGACGGTTGTGTTGACATGCCACATAACAAGTTCCTGTCCTGTGCAACTGCAGATCAAGGTGATTAAAATTTGTTCAAGATGGCAGCAAATGTTCATATGTAGTATGGTTATGATACATGTAGTCAAAATGCATGAAGATGGAATAATTTTCTTATTCAACGAGTATTCGCTATTATTCACATTAATAATCCTTGCTGAAATTGAAAACTCAGATTGTTTTTTGGCTTGTTTTTCTGCAGAGTTTAATTCACCAATTCAAGTAACTCCTCTGTTCAGAACTCTAGCATCTACAATACCGAGCCCACAATTTTCAGAAAGTGTAAGCTATCTCTTCTTTATCTCATATTAAATACATGTTTCACTTTAGGTTTTGTTCCTTTTCTCGGGTGCTCAATTGATATATTACAAGGAATTTTCGGTATTCAAGGCTCTGATTGTCAATCTGCTGTAACCAACTTGAGTTGCTAAACACAGTTCAAGGATCTACAGCCCCAGATTTACAGTAATATATTGAAGATTGAGTTAACTAGGGGGCCTGTCTGAAGCAAAAAAACTTTGTGTCCTTATCTACAATTTGCATTCTCGCTATGTTGAATTAAATTCAAAGTTGCACCGCATATCCACAATTTGCACTGTCAATACTCAATGGACTACTCGGTAGCAACTAGCAAGTAATGCTTTCACTTAGTGATACTTCCTCCTAGTCACTTCCTCCTTTTAGCTAGTCCATGAAATAAGAGATCCTAAGTGCTATATATGCATTACTGTTAGGTATTTGATCTTACCTCCTACTTCAGGCTCGAGCAAAAGGAATTAAAGTCTCGGTTTAGCTGAAGAATTGAGAGTCACATTCTGAACTTACAATTTTTTTTTTTTTTTTTTTTTTTTGGGGGGGGGGGGGGGGGGTATTGATCGAGGAGGTTGAAGAACGGAAAGGAGAGTTGAAATTTGGGAAGCAACCTTGAATAGATCATCATCATCTCCCTTCTACTCCTCTCTCTGGTGCCTTTGGCTCCCAAGGACATTTTCAAGTCCCTTTTACAGAGTTCAGACCATGAGAGCCTTGCTAATGATCTTAGCAATGTCAATCTGGTAATGGTAGGAAACTCAGTGGAATGTTTTCTATATTCTTCCATCACAACTCATCAACCAAGATGGAAACACGGCATGAATAGCCAGCAGCCCAGCAATACTGCTTACCTGCACTAAACATTCTTAGCAACATGAATGTGAGCTACGGAAAAACATATGTTGGGCGTTGTTCCCCCCCCCCCTCCCCCAAAAAAAATCTTTAATATTAATTCATCAAAAAAATCTAAAACACTTGAACTGTTGACAGATGTATCGACTCATCAGAAGTACATAATTTGGGCATTCAGCCCCTTTATTCCTTCATTTTTATCCACTAGTGCACGGGGTGGGGGTAGGGAGGGATGTTTCTAACTTCATGTGTTGAGTCAATTGTCAAGGCCCTTTGATAATACCAGCAGATACAGACTTCCTAGTTCCTATGTTCACATAATACCAGTCAAAACATGTGAACCACAGTGGAAATTTGTGTGTTTTTTTTTTGTAATCTAAAAACTATAGTTTATTAGCATATGCTACCAATGCAGAAGTGGTACAGTATGCTCTGAAGAACATTAAATTTTTTATGCAAATATAAGTAGGGGAAATGCACTAATATGTTACTATGGGCATCAATATGATAAACAAATCATAATTTTATGGGGATGAAGAATCAACAAATAGGGTGTTTTGTGAACCTTTCATAGTTACGAAGTGTTACTGCAAGTTGCAGACCAGAATTACCCTATATAACATTGACATCATAAAAGCCAGGTAAACAATTTGCTCATGTTCCATGCAACTGATTCAGTTAATTAACAAGTATCAGGGTGAAGATCTGAAGAAGACTAAAAATTAGGATGTAACAAAATGTTATAACTTATAAGCTATCTCTATTTATTTTGTTTTGTTTGCTAGAATCGTTTCCTGTGCTTTGATCTCTTGTGCTAGATTATGTTTGAGATGATTGTAGGCATTATAACAGGACTCCTTAATTGGACGGTTTTTTCTTTGACTGCTTTGACATTGTTGCTAAATTTTGGTCAGAGGCAACAACATTCTTTAAGTCTGCCTTAGCAGGCGGAGTTTTACTCAAGGACCAATATCAGCTAAAGCTCTAATATAGTCATAAACACATGAAAGTTGAAATTCTACACCTTATATGAACTGTAGCTAGGTAGCAGAGCTTATTTAGTTATTTTAGTTAAAACTTTGGTAGCCCTTGAACCGATCTGAACTTATCTAAATTTATCGACCCTTATTATAACTTATTTAGTTAATATACCTTAATATTTTGAAAGCAATACAGACTGACCACTTTAATCTCTATGTTATTGCAGGAGAGGCACTTTCTACTCAGAACACTGGGAATCGAATCTCCTACTCAGAGCACGATCACCAATCCTATGCAACCACCACCTTGCAGAAAGGCGCTTCTGCAAGGCCTTTGAACAACAAAAATTTTCCTGATCCCATCTTACAGATAACAACTATCTCATATACTGTTGCATTTATAAAGTCGAGGATTATTGTCAATCTTAGCGGTTTTTTTCAGCATTGCAGCCACATAGGCCCGAATTTTTTTTGAGAGGCTTTCTAAGATCTGCATCCAAGATCCACATTCCAGAATGTCAAACAAGGCGACATTCTTTCTCCATCAGATCAAACTATGCGCGGTCTGCATCCCCTTCATTCTTTGTTTACTGATTCGCCCTCAGGGTGCCTAAAGCTTATCCTGGTGTGAATTAATTGTCTATGATGTGTGTGTCATTCTTTTGTTTTTATGGGGTTTCGAGTTAAGGGTAATTCGATCCCTCAGCCAGTATTTGGCATTTATTCATCTTTTGTACAGCAACCCTGCAACACATAACCTTAGTTTATCGGTAGAGTGTATAATCATTTATACTTGGGTATCTCATCGATCCCAAATAGATATAAGTAACAGGAAGAAAGAGTTATGGAGGATCTACCAATGGAATGGTAATCCTTTTTGTTTTTCTTTTCTATCTTGGTGTGAAGATTGTATAGAATAAGCTTTTTGTTCGAGGTTTTCGATCTTCCTCGCTGGATGTAATGTACTGTAAACTCAAGATGATTTGAGTTGGAAAAGAAAAAAAAAAAAAGTCTGATTTGTGTGCAGATTTGTATTTCTTCCTAACCTTTGCAGAAAAAGATACATGCAACTTCATGAAGAACATATGTACATGTCATATCATTGAACAAAAACATAAGAAACAGCTCAAATACCCACTTAAAGCGAAATGGAAAATCATAGTTTTGAGTACATAACAAAGATGAAGTAAGAAGATTGTACTTACAGAGTTACAGTTTCAGTTAAGCTAAGTCCAGCATACAGCAAACTCGAGCTGACGAAAAGTTCAGTTAGTACTCTGTGTGTGTACTTGCTAGAAAAAGGAGAAGAAGAAGAAGAAGAAGGTGAAGATTTGTTTAAGTTAAGAAGATTGAAATATGAAGATAATGGAGGACAAAAGTGATGATAACTAATCCATAAAAGTTTAAGGGAGGTAAAATAAAAAGGTGGAGGGAACACTATACAAATTAAAGTGTACTCTTTGAATGCGACTTTTCTCCCTCCAATCCAACTATAATTTAAAAGTTAATAATTATACTTATATGAAAATTTACATGTTTTGACCTTTGATTTTGTTAACACATACCCACTAAACTATACATTTGTTCATTTAAGAGGGCAAAATAGTAATTTGGATTGCTGGTTCCTGTGCTAATTGTTGTTGCATGCACGTCAAATGCTTGTGTATGGGACCCAATTATGAAAGATAAAAAATGAACTAAATTACAAAGGTTCACGAGGAATATAACCTAATGAAAAATTAAAGGTAACTTCTTTACCTAGTTTTAAGCAATTTCAAAGAAGTATCAACTTTAATATTAGGCCATTAGGGTATTTTATTTAGGGGTGAAGTATCAACTTTGATGTTGTGTGGTTTGTAAAATCAATTTGATTAAGATACTATAGGTATACTTAAGTGCAATTGAGCTCAAGAACAGTAGGTGTGACCGAGTGAGCCCCCATAATATAATGGTAACATTGTTTTGGAAGTTCAACAGGATCAGGATTAACTGAATGATTTAATGTACTGTAGTCTAAAGCTTTTCTTCTTGAAGGGAGAAGGATTAAGCTTTAAATTGCAGCACTTTACACGCATATGCATAAATCATGACAAAACTTCATTGATTGTTCTTCAAATCTACTAGTATTCTAGTTACATTCTTCTATATTCTCCCTGATCTTATCTCCTGAAATCTAAACCGAAACTAGCATAACAAAGGTACATTTTTAGATTACTTGTAGGGAGGCACAAAAAAGGACCTTGTTAAAGAATCTTAACTATGTATAGCTTCTTTCGAGTGGCTTTTCACTTCTTTTGCAATCTTTGCAGCGTCAGCCATTTGTAGTCAATCTGGAAGGATAACCCAGATAAAACTGTGTATACCTTCTTTCAAGTGGTTTTCCGCTTCTTTTGCAATCTTTGTAGCTTCTGCCATTTAAGGTAAATCTGGTAGGACAACCCAGAGAAGACCATGACAACACTGCTCCATTGACTTGTGGAGAGAGGATTGCCGCTCAAAAGAGAAGAGACAACAATGCTAACAAACTTGCGGGTGGTAGTAATAGTTGTGTTAGCAAGAGAACCAAATCGGCTGATGGTTAGGAAGATGAAATTTTGGCCAACTGCACCACATAAACAGTAAAAGAGGATGTCCCATCCTGCTTCAGGATGCTGCTTGCAGAAACGAATGGCTTCATAACCACTGGCTTGGGGCCAACCAAACATGTAGACCACATTGTATATGGTGCCCCAGAGATTCATTCCAAGCATGATATCCCAGGCACTTGTTTTCGGATACCTGAAAGGTGTTGACAATGATTTAGATAGACGAGTAATAAGAAGAAAAGAAAAATTCAAAAGATCATCAAATTTACAATGGAACAACTCTGGGCAAGAGCTGCCATTTGTTCAAAGTGAGGAATGCAGAAAAGGTTTTGTGTACTCACATCATAGAATAATTTAGCTAGTTTTCCCTAAATCCCTCACCCCACACGCACACATACAGGTGAAGTATCCTAAAACCAAGGTAAACAAACTCTGAGGCATCTTCACATTTTCATTTTCACAAGTATGTCATATTGAACCAGATAGGCCACAAGTAATACTAAAGGAAGAAGAAAATACTATAATACCTTGCTGTTATAGAATCCTGTGTGGCATTTGTAAATCCATCAAAAGCAAGGTTCAGGACACAGAGCCCATATCCAAGAGGTGCATTAGGATGTGCCAGCTTACTAATGGTCTTTGCACTGGTCTGTGGAGCAACAGAAAGTATAAGATTCAGGTATATTCTAATACATATCATCAAATATATCCACAATAGCAGCAGCACCCTCATAGAAATGCCAAGTAAACAAAAGGCCAAAAAAGAGATTGCTAGCATTAGAAGTTCGGTGTACATCTCACCTTAGAGAGTGCAAAAAGTGACACACCTCCTGCCACAAGAAATGAGCAAATATACTCCGAATACGAGTATTTGATGCCATAAACCAGAGCGCCCATAACCATCACTGCAGAAAGTATACATACCAAAATGGAAAACAATTACTATGAGAATTAAGCAATATTGACATAATTCAATATATCGATTCTTTCTAAAAACTAGAAAAAACATGGCAATATGAAATCAATCACATCATTAAAAGTGGGTTTACTATTCCATCAACTAGGTCTGTCATCCTGTATTCATGCTCAACCTGTAATATAATCTACAACTCCAAGAAAGAAATAATTTGTGCAGCACTACAAATAAATGTCCTGCCCTCTGCAGCTTATGACCAATAGCCACTACTCACTTTGCTGCTAATACACATTTCCCTTCAAGCCATGATATCTTTTTGATACTTTCAAAATGAATTTTTAATGAAACAATGTATAAATTTTCAAAATCGCATCTAATAAAAAAGACAAGGAGTTCCAGTACATGATGCAGTCAGGTATCCTATGCCTGAATAATGATATTGCCCTGATTCCTAACTCAAATATTCCATGTTGGATGTTTCACAAACTTGGACGAATTTGTTCGTGAAACAGCCAACATGGAATATTTGAGTTAGGAGTCAGGGCAATGTCATTATTTGTTCTTTCCTACTAATTAGGGCAATGTCAACATGGAATATTCCAAACTCAGATACTCCACATTGACATTGCCCTAGTTAGTAGGAAAGACTACAACAGGAACACGCAGCTGCTCATTATCATATTCACAACTTCAATCCTTCTCCCTTCCAACTACATCATGACCATGTGTGACAACTACAAAAAAATAAGCAACAAATTTCCCCGCAACTTGATAAACATGTTAAAAGAATACAGACAGCTGATTCTCAAGCATCAAGCAAGGCAGGAATTAGTTACAAAATTTATCTTATCCACTAAAGCTCCTTAAGATGACTATTACTTCAATAAATAGCAAGAAGTGGGGAAAAGACGTTAACAGATCAAGCCTTTTGCATTCCACAGAGCCGATATGGAAAACTGATACTTTTCCATTACTAATATCTTTCCATTTCAGTTCATTGATATCTTGAAAATTAGCTTGCAAGATAGCAAGGCAGGATACAGTTGTCAATCCTACCTGGAATCATCTTTGACGATTTCACAAGGACCTGCAAAAAAATACTCCATTAGAACAACAAATCAACACTAAAAAAAGCCATTAGTTGGATACATGGAAATGAAGTCATTCAAAATCCTTAAACAAGCAAAACTGTATCGCTATAGCTAGTTGGTAATATGTACTTATGTAGCCTATACCCCTATATATCAATAAAAGAAAAAAAAGTTAAATAATTTTTGTGTCGGGGACATTATAAGTAATACAACAAATGTTGGGAAAAGCAATAGATTACATTACTAATATAATGAATCTACATATGCATTATGAACATCAAGAACTTAAGCACCTAGGAATTATTCTTTTCACCTAAAACACAAAAGTTTCAAGATACAAGTTCTTTATTACAAGTTTTTAATTAACTAAGAATAAGGGCTACTAAGTTCTTAAAGGTCAATAAGAAATACATATAGAATGGATCTTCAAGTGAAAAAGAAACTTTCATCCAAACAGGTTCCCACCAAAATACCATAAGATCAATAACAAAGATTAGCTACAGTCTATAATGGCTTGTTCGGTAGGTGGTATTAATTGGTGGTCATGTGTTGTACTTCTACAGGGATAGCTGAACACCATGTAGTGAATCTCTAAAATGATGATAATCCTGATAATCCCACACAAATATGTAAAATTCATTATAGGTTCCCATCATCAAGAGTTAATATAGTAGAAGATATAATTGCGTATTTGTGTGGCAATAAAAATATATGGAAACATAATGTATATTTTAGGGTTGGAGATCTTGGTGTTGCATTATCGTGGACTTTGGAATAAGATTTTCTTTACATTGTTATTTCTTATCACTATAAACTAGCCGAGAAAGGATAACCACAAACATTACCACCCAGCCGTTTACCACATTTGAAAACCAACCAAACTTTCATCAACATCTTTTTTCTTTCAAGTTCCACCAATACAACATTGTGTATAGCTTTCAGCATTACCTATGACATCCCATAAACTTTCCCCATTTTTTACCAACCAACAATTCCACCACCTTTAGTCATTACAACCAAACAACCACTAAGCACACTACTTCCTCTTCAAACCAAATAATCGTCACATTATTCCAACTCATTATACTTAAACGATCACTACATTTCACCAATATACCACACACAAAAATGATACATCTCAAAAACGCATACATTAACATGACTACCATTCTGAATCAAGAGAATTACTTCTATATCAAACCCAACATTTTCATTGCAAAATCCACATAAACAAAACCCGAAACAACGAAACACGCAAGGAGAGATCGAAGCAAAACCTGAGCAGGATAGCTAATATACTTCAAAGCTTCAATACCCATTGCTGGACCAATAGTGTTAGTAATACCCGCACTCCAATAACTCCACCATGGCGCTCCTCCCTTACTTCCTCTCGACCAAAGACTAATCACTGTTTTCCCCACATTAAAACAAATACATTAAAATCTCCCCATTAATTTTTCCAAATTAAACTAAAAAATAAGCATTAATTCTGTTGATAAATTTAACAAAAAATACTCACTGATAAAAGACCAAATGAAACAGACAACATTTTGTGCCAAATTCAAAAACGCTAAGTGCTCAAATCTCTTCTCGTCTGGCCCAAATCTCTTCGTCGATCTGCAAATTTATCCAACATTCATTAAATAAAACAACAATAATTTACAAAATTTCACAAATTCAACATTCATATTTACGAAAAATCACACTATAAATTTAATACTACACAATTGTTCAAAAAAAACCCTAAAATCAAAATTGATCTTCAAATTGATGGGAGAGAAAAGAGAAATTACAAATGTTCCTGAAGAACGCCTTGAGAAATGTAAGCAGTCCAGATTCCGGCGACGCAAAAGCAGAGAAGTAACACACGGCCTAATCCCGACGCATGAGCTTCCATTTTCCGGCGACTTTTACTTCGCCGGTTAATTTTTTTACCGACGCTTTAAATTGTTTAAAGTTAAATCTGGTATTTTTGAACTGAGTTTGGTTGGTATTGTTTATTGTATTGAGTTGGATGGAAGAAAAGAGGTGATATTTTTTTACCATGACGTAGAAAGTCTGACGTGGCGGGATTTGATTGGAGAAAAAAACGGAATGGTGGATTTCTATTGGTTAGTTGAACGCGGAGGTTTAAGAAGAAAGTCCGAGAAGCGGGTGGATGGGTCATGGATTATGGGACCGGGTTGTTTATGGAAGTGAGATCTTGCTTCTTTTTTACTTGTATGTTCTTGAGCTCAATGTATTTCATTAAGATTGGTTGCTTTTGTCTTTTAGCTTTTAGCTTTTTTGTTTGGTCAAACAGTAAAAAAATATGTTTAGTTGTTGGCTTTTTTGTTGGCTTTTAAGTGACTTTTTCCGTCAAAAGCCAAAAGCTAATAGGAGTAGCTTTTTCTATTGGCTTTTGCCTTGTTGGCCCAATTTATCATTATTAACCAGCTAACAACCATAAATAATTTTACCAAACACTTTTATAAATAACTGGATCAAACAACTAACTTAAAAAGCCAATTTATACTGCTAAAACCCAGAAAGTTAGACCAAAAGAGGTCAAAAAAGACTGCCTCAAAGAGAAGAGAGGGAAAACTATCCTCATGGCACCCACCATCATAGACTTAATCTTTCTATTTCTATTTATTCGTCAATTTCCACAAATACTACATAATTTTCTAGTCAACGTAGAGGGAGAAGTATATTTTATAGTTGTACTCTGTAATATCGGATCTGTCTCCCTACCTTTTGCTGTTGTTATTGGGGTTGTTTGAGTGAAATTTCAAGCTAAAAGAATAACTCAAATGGGCAATTGTTTGGGTTGTTCTGTTCTTTACTCTCCCACCATCGGTATGTCTTATATTTTTCAATGTTTAGTTTATGACACTATACAATACCCCGTATATATATTATTTTTTGTCCTTGCCTGTTTGAGCATATATTTTTTTAATTTCTTTTTGTTATGTTTAGTTTACGCCACTAAACAATTTGTCTTACTTGTGATATGGTGTGAAAAAATTAGTTAATAATCTCAACTTTGACCGATTTTTTTTTAAAATAATTCAAATTTCAGACAATTAATCTCAACTTTGGATTTTTTTTTTGTTGAATAACCACTCATATTATAGTGGAAGAAAATGAATACTCAAAATATGGGAACTATCTATGTACACATTAGCAAAAACTAGTAAAAGAGCTTGTTTGACATTGTTTTTTATTTTTAGTTTTTTTTTTTTAAAACAAAAAACCAAAATAAGGAAACAAGATATTATAGGGATTGGGTATGTTCGGATTAATTAGTTCGGGTTGAAATCGGGTCAGATTACTTTAGATATCAGGTCAACTTTGGTTCTGATAAAGTCGGGTTGGGTTGGGTTACTTTAGGTATCGGGTCATCAAAGGTGGGTCAGCTCCACTTTGGGCAAGGTTTTGGGTTGGGTCCATTTCAGGTTTCTAAGTCAAGTTTGGGTTGTTCTTTCGGGTCCAAATCGGACCTCGGGTCAGGTAATTGGGTAGAAGGAAATTTTACCAGGTCTAATTAATTGTATATTTGTATGTAGAAAATCCTTGTGCCTTGAGCTCTTGCATGGCTCATGGTATGCATCAAGATTGTTTAATTCACTCTATATTTTCTGGACTAACAGTTGATGAGTGCAGCAGTCTAAATCTTCCTACTACAGGCTTGATGGCTTTCTCCTCGGATGAGCTTATGACAATCACCGAACATTACCGGCACAATCATTTAATCGGATACGAACGTTTCCCTAATGTCTACAAAGGTTGGATTGATGGGCAGACTCTATCTGAAACTAGAATGCCTGTTGCTGTCAAAAGGCTCAAACTTGAAGGTTTTCCGGGACGCGATGAGTGGCTAGTATGTTTCTATCAGTTCTCATACTTGGGATCTCTTAGCCAGCAGTATAATTCTTTACACCTTATTGATTGATGCAGACGAAATTAAACTATCTTGGCCAGCTGCATCATCCTAATCTGATGAAACTGATTGGATACAATCTTGAAGATGAACTTCATCGGTATGTGGTGACTGAGTTTTTGCCCAAGAATAACCTGGAATTTCACTTGTATGGTGGAAGTAAGTAACTTTAGTAATCTTCGTGTTTTTACCTGTTAAAGGACCAACTTGATTAATCAAAGGCTTAAAGTGAGGGGTGGATGAGATTTAAACCCGTGACCTTTGTGTCATGGCTCCGATACCATGTTAAAGCACCAATCAATCAATTGGTTAAACTTATGGTTGAGACTCAGAAATATGTTTTACAGTGATGCAAGACTGGGTTACACAGCACCAGAGTCTATAGAAAAAAGTACGAAAAATGCCTATATAATCTCTACACAAAAAAATCAATTATACATCTGAGTATACCTAAAGCTAGCTAAATACACTAATGTCTATATAATCTCTATAAAAAATAAATTATACATCCGAGTGTACCTAAAGCTAGCAATATACATGTAAAGCAGTGCTATGTTAGTTGTTATTAGGACATAGTATAAAGGTTATATATAATATCAATCTTTGAGAGGTTTTTAAGAATTTGTATCACATACAGAAATTTTCAATATTGATTGGAAAGGTATGCACATACTAATGAGTTGGATTGTTTAGAGTATGGACCAGGTAGCTTTACAGCGGCGAGCGACGTCTACAGACTACAGTTATGGGGTTGTGTTACTTGTACTATTATCTGGACGGCCTGCATTCGAGAAGAAAATGATTGGAGAGATTGAAATAGTGCGCTCGGCGTCAGGTATGAAGTCGCGGAGACAGTTAATCCAATTCATGGATGACAAGCTTAAAGACCAATATCCACAAAAAACTGCTTTTAAAGTTGCTACACTAGCTATTCAGTGTACACTCTCGCCTTCTTTTTCTAGGCCTAATATGTCCGAGGTCTTACAGAAACTTAACGAAGCTTTAAGACCTCCAAAACGAATATAAAAGGTTCCAATGCAGGTTACAACAACACTGAACACACCTTCGTCACCTCAAGGGTTTAACTTGAAGCAAACACCACTCCATCTCCTCGTTATCACATTGACAATATCCTTGTGTTTATTGATCATACAGATTTCGATTCCATGGTTTATCTTATCTATATTTTTTATTTTATTTTTTTTATTTTTATCTTATCTTATTAGTAGTGGAAGTTTTATTGTACTTGATATTTTATACTCCCTATTTGAATGTTTAGTGTATTATTTCTATTCTATTGTTGTCTTTACTAGGTTTACATTTCTTTTTTGTGAAACACTACTAGGTTTACATTTCAATACATGTATCTCGATAATAGATGTACTTTATAGTATACAAAAGTGCATGAACACCTTTTATATACACTCGATTGTACATGAAGATAGGTGCACCTAAAACTAGTTTTTTTTACTTTTTTTTTAAAAAAAACATTTTTAAGATTAAATGAGCAAAAAAAAATTTTTTTTTTTTTTAAGATTAAACATTTTTTTTTGTACTCTCATTTTAAAATTAAATGAGCAAAAAAATATTAAATGAACAAATATTATTATGTACATTTTACACCTGGTAGTATTTAAATTTTTTTAATCTTAATATAGCAATAGAGTTGGACAACATGACAATTATATTTAAACTAAAAGATGATATCCTTATGTCACTCGAAAATTGATCTAATATCTTTGTATCAAAGTCTCTAAGCTAATAACTCAAAGAACAATACAAGAGGCTAACAAGTATGTTAAAGGATCATCAACTAAACCAAAAGGTTAAGCTAATGGTTGAGACCCATAATCTGGTTATCCAACTAGTTGTGCCCACAACACGCAACATCCCGCAAGCTTGGAGCTTTTGCCTATGGCATTAGATACCTAGCGAGCGCTGATCAATAACGTGCAACATTGTCGTTAGCTTTTGCGTCAGCCATCGCCCAATGGGTTGGGAGTGGGCATCATCATAGCAATCTTTCATCAAAAACTACAACTTTAATTGACCAATCATTGGATGAGTTTTGTTATTTTTATTTGTTTTTTCTATTTTATTTACCTCCTCCGTTTCTTTTTAGTTGGATCATTTCCTAAAATGAAAGTTTCAAATTAGTTGCATCACTTTACTTTTTAGTTAATAAACTCTTTCTATCTCTCTCTTATCATATGACACTAGTAGAAAAAAAGAATTAGGCAACCCCCCTATGGCAACGGTTCATGAAAACCGTTGCCAACTTGTTGTGAGCGCCATTTTTTTAAAAAAAAAATTTGGTTTTATTTGGTAACGGTTAACCGTTGCCAATTGATAAAATTAAAAAAAAAAATTAAAAGGGGTAGATTGGCAACGGTTAACCGTTGCCAATTTTAAAAAAAAAATTCGGGTTTTTGAATACAAACAGCAAGATGTGCAAACGTTCTTCTTTCACCTCCAAAAACGCGCGCCTTCCTCTCCCCAAACCATTCCTCCATTGAATTGAAGCTTCCATTGAAGGGTTTTGTTCTTCTGCCTCCCTCAAGCACGCACTCCCCTGTTCTTTTGCCTCCCTCAAGCACGCACTCCCCTGTTCTTCTGCTTTCACCCCTCAAGCACGCACGCACTCAGCTCTTCTCTTCTGCCTCCCTCCATATATAGCAGCTCCTCCATTATTGAAGTATGTAGCAGCTCCTCCATTGTTATAGCGCTTCTCATTTCTAGGTAAGTCGTAATAGCGCTCCTCCATTGTTATGGTTTTTGAAGAATTGATCTTTAAATTAGTTAATATTGACAATGCAAGTTGCTTGTAATTGCTAGGGTTTGTCAAGAATTGGTCTTTTGTGTTAGCATGAATTGGGTCTGTGATGTTGGAACTTGAATAGAGTTATTTATAGTTAGAAGTTCCTTGGTATTGAAAAGATGATATACCCTTGTATCTTATTACTATAATTTGACAGATGTTTGTGATGATACCGTGTCTGTCAAACTGGCTTCGAATGAATTGAATGAAATTTTAGCAATGCACCAACTGCCCTCAACCTTGTTGTTGCTTTCATTGCTGAATTTCAGCCAAAGACATGGATAGAAAACAGTTGTTATTGTATTTAGTACAAGCTACATTTACCTATATTTCTAAATTGTTATGAGAACTTTATTTATCATCACTAATAAAGTTGAGAATTTTATTTTGGTTATAGGATAATTTAGTCCTTTTTATTTAAGAGAACAAAGTTGAGAGTTTAGGGTTTAGGGTTTAGGGTTTAGGGTTGAGAGTTTAGGGTATAGAGTTTAGGGTTTAGGGTTGAGAGTTTAGGGTTTAGGGTTTAGGGTTAAGGGTTAAGGGTTAAGGGTTTAGGGTTTAGGGTTTAGAGTTTAGGGTTTAGGGTTTAGGGTTAAGGGTTTAGGGTTTAGGGTTTAGGGTTTGAATATACTTTTCTTTATGAGTTGCTTCTCACTATATATATGCGTGTTTCAGGCTAAGAAATGGGTGTCAAGGGCTTCTAGGGTAAGATCATCAGTTTGGAGAGTGGGCGGAAAACATCCTGGTATGGTATCTTACTCTGACTGTCCTTGTTCTTGCATTGCTCACTAATATCATTCTTATCTTTTCCCTTAATCTGGTTTTCTATTTGTGTTCTATATAGGTTACACTGAAAAAGATTATCAGGAATTTTTGGGCGAAGCATAGACCTTGGCATTGACCTTCTATTTGAGAGTGTTGAGCCTTTATAGGTACTCAGGTATATATATATATATATATATAACTTTATGTGCTTTAAATAAGTTCTTGGTTGCACAATTTTGTGGAGATGGTGTGTGATATAACTTTGGTGCATCTTCTATCATGATGTGTGATTAAACCATTGGTTTTTAATTGATTGCATGTATCATCATATGCCTAGATACCCGTTCAAGGCTTTCTCATTAGGATAAAGTCTTGAATAGTCCCCGGTTGGGACTGTTCTTGAACGTTTACTCTCACTTAGGTGGTGAATGTATGTCAGTTTTTTCGATTTTAAGGAACATCTTGGCTTAGCATTTCATGGATCACCATGTTCTCTGGGTACATATGTGGGTAAGTAATTACCTACGTCGTGTACTTGGAGAACTGGGGGGAAATGCTGCCGGATTTTCCTTAAAATTGGAAATCTGATATACATTCACTAGTGAGAGTAAATGTTCAAGGATGGGTTAGGTTGGAGTGATAAGGACCCTTTGGAAGCATATATGCATTTTTGTATCTATATGAATGTTATATGCATGTTGTGTGTTTGAATTTGATTTGTATATATAATAGATGTAGCAATTATACATTATTCGTAATATGTTACCATGTTTAGAGACAATTTACTTAATGGAGAGGGATCGTGGATTGATGTATGGTAGACGTGATACATTAGAATTCTTTAATGGGGTTCAAGAGTTCTGCGAGACGGCTTCATCTTATCAGCGCAGAATGGGTTTCGAGTGCCTCTATTGTCCTTGTGTTGATTGTAATAATGTGAAGGTGGTCAATAGTGTTGATATCATTAGAGATCATGTAGTTTGTCGTGGGTTTAGGGTTAAATATCATGTGTGGATTTGGCATGGTGAAGAAGGAGAGTACAGTGGGGATGTTATTGGGTATGATGTGCATGATGATAGAAGCAATGATATCCGTGTGGACGAGGAATACAAGAATGATGAACATATTGATGATGATGGTGCTGAGGAGGGATTTGAGGATGATCATGTGGATGAGGTTGAGGATGAAGGTGTGGATGAGTGGATGCGTGGTTTTGAAGGTGACGTGTTTGAGTCATTATTGGAGGCTTCTAAAAAGCCTTTGTATCCTGGGTGCAAAAAATACTCCAAACTATCAGCCGTGCTAACTCTTTTTAACATTAAGTCGAAGCATGGGTGGACGGACAGTAGTTTTACTTCCTTGTTGAGCGTGTTAAGTGAGATGTTTCCAGATGGGAATGAAATTCCTAAGTCTTACTATTACGCTAAGAAGCTCATGTGTCCATTTGGTTTGGAGTATAAGAAGATACATGCATGTCCTAATGATTGTATTCTTTACCGAAATGAATATGAAAAATTGGAGGAGTGTCCAAGATGCAAGAAGTCGCGCTACAAGCGCAAGAGTTGCAATGCTGGTACGAAGGGA